TTTTGCATCACTGTAGGCTCAGTTGGTACCACAGAATGTTTTTCTTTAGCCTTTTTTTAACAAAGGTTTGTTTTAGACAAATGTTCTTATTTTGTTGAAGCCTGACTGGCAGCCAAAATGACAGCACATTAATAGACCACGTTCTCATGTTACCGTGATGTTTCCTGTTTGCAGTTTCATTGCATAGTTTAATGAATGTCAAGATAATCTTTCAACAGAAGGGATCAAAATATTGTATGTGGGATGTAATGCATAATAAGCATCAACATTTCTGTGGCTCTTAATTGTTCATTTTGTTATATTTTTGGTCCTTTAGCTAAATTTTTTGTTTGTCTATCACCTTTTCAATGTTAGAAAAGATAAAAACATACTGCGCATTAAATGAAGGTTTCAGTCTACCATTATTTTGTCAGACTTTTTCACCTTTCTAAAGTTATATGAAGCCTATAAAAAAACCTCCCACTCTGGATAAAAACTGTTTCAGAGTCTCTTGTCTGGCAGAAGCCTGTGGCCCATTAGGACTAAAACGTCTCACCACAAAAACAGCTTTTTCCTGTCTGTTGCCAGTCACATTAACAAGGCCCAGGTCCCCCACTGACATTGTCCCCTAATTAATGAAATTTTATATTGTTGTTACTACATCTGCTAGAGTTTTTTCTCTTTGCACTTTTTTTTTCTTTCTCTCATCATTCCTATACACATTTCATTTGCTTATTCCACAATATATATTTATTAACTCATTTATGTCACCTGTATGTTTCTCAATGTATAGTATTTGATCACCAAAGGTAATTTTGTGGCAATAAAGCTGTCTCTCATTCTGACAACTCTTTATTTAAATGTCTAGATGTGAATATACATTTTTTAGCATCTAAAACTAAATTTGTTTTGGGATTTGTTTGTTTTAGAATAGAATTTAAACACTTAACAATTTTGTTGATAGTTCTGGGGTGAGATTGAGATATAGGTAATCAGTATGAAAGTGAGCTGTGACTATGGTAGAACTAAGGGGTTGCTGCAGTCAAGATATCAGGGAGAATTACAGACCTTCAACACCGTTACTCAGCATACCTTGAAAATTGATGCCCAGATGGACAAGGAGTGATCAAAAGAACAATATTATAATAGTCAGGACACATGAGCGGTCACAGAACAACATGAAGGTTCAACCTGTGTCTGTGAAAAATATTTCCACCTTCTATCCATTATTAAATTTTAGGGACATTATCGAACACAAGATTGTTCACCTTTGAAATGCCCGAAAAGCTGTTTTAGTGCAGTCAAGTCAAATATTATATATAATTATGATTAACATGCTATTCATGTTCATAAAAAAATCGTTCAAGGTCACTGAATCAAAACAGTTATGGAAAGATGAAAGGACCAAATTTCCTCCAGAGCGATCAAAGTTGTTGCCACCAGGGGTGGTAGTTTTTTTGTTGCTGCGTGTTTACCTTAAAACAATCAGTGATCAGCAGAAGGCAGGATCTCCTAGGAAATAAGATCAAAAGACCATCTGGCTGCATACAGGAGCAGGCCCAGATATTGTTCAGAGATTATGGCTCCAGCAGCGCCTGTGCAGTCTTACAAATAAGGGATGTTTCTGGCCCGTGGCAAAAGCAGTAACCACACTCCATAAAAATGGTAGGGGAACCCTCATCTGCATCTTTCTCCAACCACTAAGCCCGTTGTGTCTCAAAAATATGCCAAGCTTTTTTATCGTTTTGTGGTAAATTTAATACCAAACTTTTCTCTGTTGGCTTGACCAGTTTCTGCACTAAATATTAAGGTGAAGGAGATCTTTGACTCCTTTCAAATACAACCATTAGCTGGATTTTCTTGCATCTACATCTAAGGCATCCAGCTAACTAACAAATTAGCTGAAAAAGTAGCCTTCTTTTCACAGAAACTGCTGCTCTGCATGGAATGACTGCAGGGCTATTCAGAAAAAGCAAAGCACAGCAGAGAACAATTGTAGAATGAAAACAATTTCATAGCTCCAAAAAAAGTATTTCAAAAAGCTCCAGACCAAATCGCCTCCCAGTTCTATGCTCTTCTGCACTTATAAGAGCTCCCAACTTTTATTTTGTAACTATAAAATAATAATTTTATCTTTTGAACTTCTATTTTTGTACCATATCTAAGTTAATAGGTATTTTCTGGCTTACCAGGTCAGCTTGAAAATGTGTAGATTTCAGGTTTAGTTTCAGACATTATTCATCTGGAACTGCTCCCATTGACTTTGTTCAGGGCAAGAAGGGACGTTAAGCGGAACTTTCTAAGCCGATTGGGAGAAGCAACACATAGTGCCCGCCTACAAAAATGTGGTAACAAGTGAAATAAACGCAGAAATCAAAACATCTTATGCTTTTATGCTCTTGTTATTCCTCTATCAAAGATGAAATTGTGGAATTTGACTTGCTTCAACCTTGTGGGCTGACAGGTTTATTTGAGTCCTGCCTTAAACCATAATACTACATTGTTTATGGCCGATCTGAATCGGGTCAGACTTGAACGGTTTAAGTTGTCAGTTATCAGCTTGTAGGCAACGTTAGGAATTTTCAGGAGTTTTGGAGATAACTGGTAATACAAAAGCTTACTCTCTGAAAAACAGGTCATTTTTGTATTTTCTGAAAAATTGCGTTGCACCTTTACAAATATTGAGGTTATTACAGCAGAAAAGCCAGCAGTTGACTCAAATTATTAACCCTCATTAAGGTAAAGTAAAACACAACAGCTTTATAGTTAGTCAAAGCCTATTATGTATAATCTATCTTTTTATTAAACTGCACACCATCGGTATTTCATCAGCAGCGGATGCTCCAAAGCATGGTCCCGATCAGCAATTCCTTTTGAACCTATTTTTATCCTGTAACAATAAATCTTCTGATGAAACCATCCAAAGCGGATGTCCAATAATCTGTTCTATATAATTCAACACAATGCATTAAAAGCGTATTGCAGGCATTATTAGATTTGCATCAATTGACACTGCTTTTGTGGCACTTCTAGTCAAATGTGCTTGTACGCTACAGAAATCAGTTTTTTTCTTTCTTTTTTTTTTTTTTTTTATACCAAAACTTTTAAATTTGTCTTCTTAAATACATCGGTTAAAAAAAAAATATGTGTGTATTTTATGGATTTTCTCGACAATCAGAAGCAACCAGCGTCCAGATTTACTCAGATACCAATAACAACTCCAGGTAAGGTGGAAATAGTAAAGAAAAAAGCAACAGAGTGCTGCACTTCTGTGTTTTTGGCCACAGGTGGCAGTATATTTAGAAAAGTGTTGTGCCTCTTTAAGTATCAGCAAAACCTTAAAAATAAATAAATAAATAAATACAAAACTATATCTGCAACAACATCCAAATGTATACCATTCTTTGATTATCAAGAAATGCACAAAAACCATTGTCCAGTGCCGAAGATTTCTCCATCTATATAAAAAAAAATTTGAAACTTGATCTCTAATTTTGGTGAATTAAAATATACTTTACCATTTAATATCACTTCATTAAACCTGAGGTTTAGGTTTATATTATTATCAAAATCATTAAATGAGTTATATTTTAAATCTCAGGGATAAAACTCTAAAATATGCATTATTAATACTAAAAATCCCTGACCGTGACGTGTTGCCCTGTCATTCAGGACACACATGGCTCAATCTAGCTCAGAAGGTGTAGAACAATATACTATTTGTAATTGTGTTGTCTATTTGACATTCAACTGTACATAGCTCCATCATAAAATATCTGAGCAAAACAATTTTTCCAATAATAGACCTCAAAACATATACATATTTGGGCTGGCCCTATACTTAGCTTCAAATCCTGATCTTACGTAAATGAAACAGCGTTTATGGAATTTTGAGAACATGAAAAGTTAGACAAAAACTGTAATTTTAATTAAACTCAAAAAGCTAAATGAAAAGGTCCAGCATAAGTAAATAATGCAAAAGTAAAATAATGAATGATGCTTAATGATTTTCTGGGTCAGTTGTGAACAAATGGGCTCATTAAAAGACAGAAATGATTAAATTAAATGATTTAGAGAGCATTGGTCCAGCATTGCCCATCATTCATCAACCTGCTGTCAGATAGAACTCATCATCATGCTGTGGTGTCTTCTCTCACTCTGCATACATGATGGTCTAGTAGGAGAGCTCTTGATCACTTTTTCACTAAAATTTGTTTTACTTTTGCACTAAATAAAATGCTATAGAAGATTTAACTCCCCATGTGCATAAATATATTATTATGGGTAAAATGATGCAGGCTCTAAGAAGTTTTCTAATCTTTTCCTTCCAGGTGTTACCTGTGTTTTCATTTATGTGACAATATCCTTTAATGGAAACACCATGCAAAATCTTAATACTCACATAAAAGTATGAGCAGTGTTTGCATGTGGGAAAGTTCTACTTTGGTGCTTTGTAAGCTGAAATGTCAGCAGTATGCATCATTAATGACTGAATGAATAATTGCAGAAGAGATGTACAGCCCTCCACTCTTTCACAGTCAACATATGGACTAAAAGCTGCAAAATTATTACAGAAAACATTCATATATTCAAGCTAGTTGTCCTCAAGAGATAAATATTCAATTAACCTTTTAAACCATGGAATCTCCAATCAGCTCCTTCAACATGATTAAAATCTTTCCATCCCATCTGATACCAAACATATTCATTGCTCTAATGAAGGGTTGTGTCATGCTTTAGTACATGAGCAACAGATATGTAAACCAATCCCATAGCCATCAATCTGCCAATCATTAAAAAGCAATTAACAATTAGCAGTTAGTAAGGAGAGGTCAGGATAAATTCGTCACCCTTAGTTTTGAATTTCTTTGGGGAACACTAATGTAAAATGACATCAAGTACTCGTTTAAAACCACATTGTACAACTAAAGGAAAAGTAGGAGGAAAAAAAGATAAGAACTTTAAAAATTAAGTTTTTTTATTATTAGAAAACATACCCTTTTGTGATAAAGAATTCTCACCTCTGCAGATTGGCACTGGGAAATCCCATACTGACACTCCAGCTGCACTGGTCACACAGGTGAGGAGTGAATGCCCATCCAGGACGTAGCCTGTGACACACCGGTAGCGGATCTTGTCACCAATGTTGAACTGAGTGCCATTGCGTATGCCTTTGGGTGGAACTCCTGGGTTTCCACATGAGCTGCTTCGCAACTCTGCATGAAATAAAGAAGGAAGACAACATTTTTATGATAAACAAATATTAGATTTTTCTTCTTAACAAGCAATTGTTAATTTTGTTTAACATGCTAGCTTTCCAGTCATGGAAACCAGTCATTTTGACATGGCAGGTTTTGCACACAAAAAAAGATTCTGTTTATTTATATAGTATAAAGAGTATAAAGCTAAAACAGATGAGGAAGGGGAAATATATTGTCCAATGACGGCTGTACCAATTTACCCATCTACTCTCCATCTCTATGCATTAAAAGATTTCACTCGATAACATGAATTTATTGCTGATGTTGAAATTAAGTGAAAAGCAAAGTATATTAACTGAATGTACAGAAGCCAAAGGAAGTAAAAATGCTAATGAGAAATATAGTCAGGTGATAAAATCTGCTGAGGCAATCTTCTGTTTTAAACCTGTGTGACAGGCCCAAGAGAAGGCCAATTCAAATGGCTTTAAAAGAGACATAGGGGTGATAGATATATAGATATGATTTTAATATTTAATCACAATATTCTTTATTTTCTTACTGTAATAACTAAGCCAAAAAGAACTGAATAATTTATGCAGACGAAAGAATACATTTGATGGATGAATGTATGGATAGATGGACGGATGGGAGGATGCTCGCTGCATTCCACAAATCAAATGTATGTATTGATATATATATATATATAGCATGTAATTATGTTCATAAATTACTCTCCAAAGAACACCTCCTTGTGATGACTGAACAACAAAGGTAAATTTAAATAAACTTTTTTTAATTGTGTTCCTTTTTGTTTTTTGTGTAGTTTTTCTATTTGTGGCTTCATTTGTGTTATCTAGAACATTTCTAAACTATACAGGACTGACAATAATAGTATAGACCTAGCTCTCAGTTTACTTGCCATATACCACCCAAAGTGCACAGGTCCAAAAATTGTGTGATATTTTCTTTGCTTTAACTCGAAAGCTGATCAAAATTGGCATTTAAATCAGGATGAAAGGAGCTGACAACACGCCGTGGAGGGCATTGGTCAGGTTATACCAACCTGTAGAAACCAGGGTATACTACTTGACTCTACTCTTATCTTTGCTCCAAAACATGCTTCGGATGTATTTAGCTAATTCTATAAAACAAGGGTGTCAAACTCATTTTCATATCTACGAACGTTTATGTTATCAGAGCTGCTTGAACCCCTAAAAAATGAAATTTAACTCCAATTTATTTTGCAGCTTTATCCACTCTGTACACTTTAAAAGAACATGTGTTTCTGCTTCATGACATATGACTTTTTTTTTCTCTAGATGGCCAGATAAATTGATGTGATGACCCAGATTCAAGTAATGTGTTCATGTTGTCTGATATGAATATGCTTGAGTAGGAAATTTGACATTGATTGGTGAAATAAATCATACAGCCAAACGCAAATATTTTCATACCCCTGGAGGATTTATTTGTAGAAGCAAAAGGTGTGGCTCATGTAAAACATCTTTGAAAAATAGGAGATGTCTTAATGTTTGCATTTATCTATATGCATGTTAAGTTCCACGTCATTTGTTCTTAGTAGCATAGTTATACCATTAAGATTTGTTTAATATTATCTTCTGACGACTACTAATCTAAAGTAGAAATGTACAAAGAGTCCACTGGTGACCAGGAATAGCTGCCTGGCACTTTAGCTGTGACCGACTTATCAGGAACATGTATGGCAAGCAGTAAAATGTCACGGTAACAAAAGAAGTTGTATGGATGTTCCAGTGGGAATTTTTAGGGGAATTAGGTTAAGTGGAACCAATTAAATGGGGAAAAGTTGATTAAAATAAAGCTGCTCTTAGTGCAAGTGTTTATATAAAAAAGTATAAAGTAAGTACAAATAAGTATAATACAAATAAGTACAAATAAGTAAAAGTAAGTACAAATTGGAAGATAGGATTATTTTTTTAACAGGTACAGCAAGTCTGAAGTTATCACGGAAAGGTGCTCCGTTTCATCCTTTTGAGCTTTCAAACTCTGTCATGTACTTTGCTGAATTTGGAAAAGTTGGCAGAGTTACAGAACCTAAGAGTTAAAGTAAAGGATTTCCATTCTCAAATGAATACAAACAGACACTGCTGTTTTAGTAATGCTAGGGATCCGGTGTGAAAGAATCTGAACAACGAATTTTCTGCTTGCCTTGAAATAGAACAAACCCTCCTTTTCCAGCTACTACTCTCTATGACACCTGCTGTGACATTGACTCTCCTCTTCTTGTTAATTATTAAGAGCTCAAAAACAGACCAAAGAATTTTCAAGTGTTCTTGCTTTTTATGTTGCTTTTTCTAATAGAATACTTCTCAAAGATAAATTAGAATTTGTAAAAAAGAAAAAAAAGAAAAGATGAAAATAACTTGAAAAACTTTCATTGGTGTAATTTTAATATAGAACAGTTTTCTTTTCTCCGTGCTTTGAGTGACCACAGCCTTCTGGCAAATTTTTACCCATTTTAGGCATGCTTTGTAATCCCTCCAATTAATTTGCTAATCAGTTATTTCAAACCTAAACACAGAGATGGATGGCTTCTTTAATTCAACTTTTGAATGTTTTACAACATGACACCAAGTGTTAACAGTTAATCTTGGGGTAAAATCAGAGCAGACTAGTGTTCATCTTAGCAAGTATTTTTCCCCTGTGAGTGTCAGAATGCATTTGTTATTATCTTATTTATTAATAATTTTCATTTGAAAACATTAAAAATGTGACAGAAGTTCTCAACATTCTCTTCAATTTTCATAACAAGGAACATTTTTTTTTTATTAATTCACTCAAACAGTTGGTTTATTTTTGATTTTATGATTTACTTTAGATGTAATTATCACCATAAAACTCTTTGATGAAAAGTTCCTCACAAACTTGTTGCTGAACACTGAAAAATTGTGCAGCTTTGTGAGATAATTATTCTGACATCTCCCATCTGTTTATATTTAATTATTTGAACCAACAATGAATGAATCCCGTAGACTATTGAACACATTGATCAATGTTTGAAGGATCAATAGATAGATATAGAAATCTGTAAGAATTAATATTATTTGTGTATTTGATGTTAAAGTTAAGTATTTCAGCTACATGGAAGATATATAGTCACCTTCAGATAAGTTAGTCACTTATCTGAAGGCAATTTGAATGTAAATATTACCCAAATCCACTTACTTATTAACCTTTAAAGGAAACTCCTGATGAAACCTACCTGAATGCTGCAGCAACTAAACGTGGCTTCAGAAAGCAGAGACCTTTCTAAGCTCCTTTTTGCAATGTCAGAGTTGGTCTTATTGCTTCTATGCACTGCAGAAGCTATATCCAGCTGTGAATAGCTTTTACTTCTTTTTTTTCCTACTTCAAAGAAAGAGCTTTCCTGCTATGAAGTACCCATCTCCAAAGGAGTCAGGAAGCTAGACCAGACTGGATTGGTTCCAGGAACTGGTGGAGCATACAAGAGTAAACCAGGAGCCCCTTTGAGGAAAATAGCTTTTAAACATAAAAATAATCATAATATAAACATTTCCTACTCTCAGACGGTTCAGTTTCCTGCCACATAAACTGGTGAACCAACAAAAAAGTTTGTACTGATCAAGATGTAAGGAAAGAAAGAGAATTATATGAAACATCATAGGCCTTTTAAGTTCTCTTCATAAAGTATTTGCTTTCATTCCCTATAACTCATTGTGATCTATTTATCTCCCCTAATATTTTCTTTAAAATGACACTACATCAAAATTATAAACATTAGCAGTGGTGAGACAAATAAAAGACCACAAGAATGATCATGCATGATCAGAACAGTCAACTGTCAGCTGTATTATAAGAAAATGGAAGTGTTTGGGAACGACAGCAACTCAGCCACGAAGTGGTAGGCCACGTAAACTGACGGAGCGGGGTCAGCGGATGCTGAAGCGCATAGTGCGAAGAGGTCGCCAACTTTCTGCAGAGTCAATCACTACAGACCTCCAAACTTCATGTGGCCTTCAGATTAGCTCAAGAACAGTGCGCAGAGAGCTTCATGGAATGGGTTTCCATGGTTGAGCAGCTGCATCCAAGCCATACATCACCAAGTGCAATGCAAAGCGTCGGATGCGGTGGTGTAAAGCACGCCGCCACTGGACTCTAGAGCAGTGGAGACGCGTTCTCTGGAGTGACGAATCGCGCTTCTCCATCTGGCAATCTGATGGACGGGTCTGGGTTTGGCGGTTGCCAGGAGAACGGTACTTGTCTGACTGCATTGTGCCAAGTGTAAAGTTTGGTGGAGGGGGGATTATGGTGTGGGGTTGTTTTTCAGGAGCTGGGCTTGGCCCCTTAGTTCCAGTGAAAGGAACTCTGAATGCTTCAGCATACCAAGACATTTTGGACAATTCCATGCTCCCAACTTTGTGGGAACAGTTTGGAGCTGGCCCCTTCCTCTTCCAACATGACTGTGCACCAGTGCACAAAGCAAGGTCCATAAAGACATGGATGACAGAGTCTGGTGTGGATGAACTTGACTGGCCTGCACAGAGTCCTGACCTCAACCCGATAGAACACCTTTGGGATGAATTAGAGCGGAGACTGAGAGCCAGGCCTTCTCGTCCAACATCAGTGTGCGACCTCACAAATGCGCTTCTGGAAGAATGGTCAAAAATTCCCATAAACACACTCCTAAACCTTGTGGACAGCCTTCCCAGAAGAGTTGAAGCTGTTCTAGCTGCAAAGGGTGGACCGACGTCATATTGAACCCTATGGATTAGGAACGGGATGTCACTTAAGCTCATATGTGAGTCAAGGCAGGTGAGCAAATACTTTTGGCAATATAGTGTATATATATATATATATATATATATATGTATGCATGAGATGCTGCAGTTGTATGCTTAAACGAATAACTTCTTCCCAGGTCTTTGCAGAAGTCTTGCATATACTTAGGAGTTAATTCAGACATCAATTAAACATTTTGGGAGCTAGGATGTATCTTAAATATGAACAATCTCTTG